GTCACCGAGCTGAATATTTTATCACATGCAAATTTAAAGGCCTCGAACAGTCCCTGAGCACCACCTGTCCTATTGTGTCTACACGTGTTCGCCCTTCTGGCTCACAAAGGACCTTGCTGGTTACGGTGCATCCAGATCATAGGATAGCATAGCACAGGCATGTGCGAGGCGTGTGTGTATGTATATAATCATTTTATTATCCCATGCTCACACACATTATATATACAGTATATTAGGGATGCACCGATGGCGGTTTTTCGGTACTTGCCAAATACCGATACCGGAAGTCCCATTAAAGGAGAACTCTGGGGTCAGGGCTTTTCCCCATAGTTCTCCTTAGGGTAACGGGAAGAGACAAACTAGCGTCCTCCCGTCACCCTGAGCTCAGTATATAGGGAGCTACAGCTCGCGGTATACTGAGACGCCGCAGCCGGAGCGGATCCCGACAATTGTGCCGGCATCCGCCCAGCTGCGTGACTGACAGCTGGCTCCTCCTATCTAGAGGCAGAGACAGCTGTACCCGCCCCCTCCCCCGTCCGTTCCGCCAGTCAGCGCTGGAGGATCGGAGCGGGGAGGGGGGACTCCAGCCCCTCCCCTGTCACGCAGAGAGCCGTGACAGGATCGAGAGGTGAGCGATGTGTTCCCTCACCTCCCGATCTACTGAGCCGACATTGACTCGCCGTGCGGCTTCCTCGTTGGCAATCTTCCTAACCAATCGGGAAGCGAGTCATTACACGCTGCCCGGCTTCCTGATTGGTTGGGAAGCCGGCTCTATGCTCCCTCGTCGCCTGGTGATGGAGACCTCCAGTTTTATGGCCAAAAATACCAAAAGCCCGAAATTTCAGGTCAACCTTTGTGCATTGATGCTCAATATTCAGCTGAACCTCCTTGTTTATAACTGCGCCATGTCCAGCAACTAGGGATGCACCGATACCACTTTTTTTAAGAGCGAGTACGAGTACCGATACTTTTGATCAAGTACTCGCCGATACCAATTACCGATACTTTTTCTTAAAGGGACAGGTCACATTTTTTTCTAAAGCAATACAAACTAATGCTTTAAGGTCACTTTCTTAATATTATGATTCATGAGATGAAGAGGGAGCATGACGCCGGCTTCCCGGCCAATCAGAATGCCGGGCGCTGCGTCATTACACGGCGCCCGGCTTCCGGATTTGCAAGCTTCCTGATACAGGAAGTACTCGTGCTAGGTATCGGAGCATTTGGGCTAGTACAAG